GAGGGAACCCTTAGCTTGTTTTTGTGTTTAAACTCTGCCTGCCCAACGGCTGAGCTGGAACCTTGGTCTTCTCTGCTTCAGACTCAGACTGAAATGCTGGCTCTTCTTGAGTCTCCAGCCTGCCACCTGTTTTGTTTTGTTTTGTTTTCCTTACCGAGCCTTACTGAGGTATAATGAACAAGTAAAATTGTAAGATAAACTGTATGTGATGATTTGATATATGTATATATGTTTACTTGTGAAAGGATCTCTCCCCCACCTAGCACACCTCACTTTGTGTGTGTGTGTGTGTGTGTGTGTGTGTGTGAACATTTAAGTTTTATACTCTGTTAGCAAATTTTAAAACTATACAGAACAGGTCACCATGTTGTGTATTAAATCCTCAGACCTTGTTTATCTTACAGCTGAAAGTCTGTACCCTTTTACCAATCTCTATTTCTCTCCCCTCGCGCCCCCCCCGTAACCACTTTTGTACTCTGTTTCTAGGACTTCAGCTTGAATCTTTTTTTCATGCCACATATAAATAATACTGTGTGATATTTATCATTCTAAACCTTTGGCTTGTTGAGTGCTCCGTGGGCACTTCCGTTCTTCCTGTTGCTAAGGAGGGCATTCAGTTATCTGTGACTGTCAGGGGCTCTAATCTCTGGAAGGACCAACTGCTCTGATGGCCTCACTTTATAATGCTGATGCAACATGTGTTTACATTTGCGTTATGATTATCGGTGACAGCTCTGCCGGCAGGACTGTGAGTACTCATTAGGGAGCCAAATACGGGGTACAGATGCCACGGGGCATTTTTCTTAATCATATTTTATACACAGTTTCTGTGTTGCTGCTTGAGGCAGCTTGGATCTCTTGATAGGACAGCTATCACAGGCTCTGGATTGGGACCACCTGACTTCTGACTTAACGCAGATTTTGAACTCTGGACCCTAAAGATGAAGTAGGTCATTGATGCCCACGAGATTGGAGCATCTCAGTGAACATGACATCTGAGTATGCATGTGATCTGTGTCCTTGAAACACCACTAGGCTAACCTTGCAAGCATAAGCTATTTGCATTATTTTGTTAAAACCCAGTGAGTTTTGATCTCTGATTACCTAGGAATTTTTAATACCTTTCAAAATTATTACTTAAAAGACAGAAAAAAACATTTCATTTTGGCAGGAGAGTTGACCTGACTGCAAGATTCTGCATAAGTGCTGATACACTGCACTTCAGCGTCTTAGGTTTCTAGGAACAAGGTTGCTCTTTTTATATGTTATGTATGTATGTGTGTGTGTATTTTAGAGAGAGCACGAGTGGGAGGGGAAGAGGGAGAGAGAGAATCTCAGGCAGATTCTGGGCCCAGCGCAGAGCCCGACGTGGGGCTTGATCCTAGGACCCTGAGATCATGACCTGAGCCAAAACCAAGAGGCAGACACTTAACCTGAGCTACCCAGGTGCCCCAAGGTGGCTTTCTTGGGGATCTGCATCTTTTTATAAACTAAGAATACTGTTCCCAATTATTTTTTTTTATTTTAAAGATTTTATTTATTTATTTGAGAGAGAAAGAATGAGAGAGAGCACGAGAGGGAAGAGGGTCAGAGGGAGAAGCAGACTCCCCGCTGAGCAGGGAGCCTGATGCGGGACTCGATCCTGGAACTCCAGGATCATGACCTGAGCTGAAGGCAGTCGCTTAACCAACTGAGCCACCCAGGCGCCCTGTTTCCAATTATTTATTGCTAGTTGCAGATATAAAACTTGCATACTTACTGAAATAGTGTTTGTGTGGTCTTTGTCCTTAATGTTGGAATTTTAATAGGTCAAGGGAGTCCTTCCAGCTTACACTGGCCATATTTGTATCTCATTTAAACACAGACAATTAATGCCTGGTCCCAGCCAAAATTTCTCCTTTGAGCTCTAGTCTATTTGGTATCTCTCCCTGTGTACCTCACAGGTACCTCAAACTTTGCATGTCCAAAAGAGAATGTGCGTCCCCCCTGCCTTCCCAACACCCTCCACCCAAGCCTGTTCTTTCCTCCCCCACCTCCACGTGCTTAAACCAGACATCTTCGAGACCCTTCCTCCTCTCTCACCCCATACGTTTAATCCAAAAGCAAGTCTTGTCATTTCTAAATCTAAACTAGTGAAAATGATCCACTTCTCCCTGAGTCCTACTGTAATTTTTAGTGCAAACTTCTGCAGCAGCCCCCTCACTGATTCGCTGGGGTAGATCTGCCCCACCAGTCCATTTTCTGCATGTCAACATGATCATGGCACTGCTTTGCAGGGAGAGTAAAACCAAACTCATGATTTACAAAGCCCTGTGTGATCCGGCACCCTCACCTCCCATTCATGATTCCGTTCCTTTGCTCATAACACTGTTAAGCCAGTTCTCAGTTCTTTGAACACCTTCAATTTTCTTACTCAGGACCTTTGCACCTGCCATTCTCTCTCCCTGGAATGTTTCTCCCTTGATTCCTCACATGGCTGGCTCCTTATCCTTCAGACTTTGGCTGAAATACTATCTCCTCAGAGCTTTCTCTGGCTGCCTTGTCTAAAATATTTGTGTTGGTTTCTTCATAGTATCTTATTTCTGTCACATCTGCTAGGATGGAAGCTACACGAGGGCAGGAAGCATGTGGGATGTGTTAATTACTGTTTCTCTGGAACCTAGCCGACAGCCAGGACTTCAGTATTTGTTGGACAAGTCACTGTTCATTTACTCAATCCTCACCTCAAGTTCATACCCCAATTTAGAGATGAAGAAACCAAGGCTTAGAAAAGTTAGAAACTTACTAAATATCCTAGAGAGAATCTAAGACTCAGATCCAGGTTTGACTGACTTGAAGGCCTGTGCCCCTTACAACTTGGGCACATTTTATCTTATCTATTAAACTTGTACTGAAATACTAGAATAAGTATAAAACACAGCAGGATTGATGAATCTTGAGGTAATCTTGGACAAGTTCCAGGATTAGTTATTCAAGATCCCACATATCTTTTCCTTCCTGATGCTCCATGGGGTACACCAAAGAGAAAACCTTGAACCTAAAGTCTGGTTAAAAAAACCTTTAATGGGGCCTCTGAGTGGCTCAGTCAGTTAAGCGTCTGCTTTCAGCTCAGGTCATGATCCCAGGGTCCTGCGATCGTGTCCCGAATCAGGCGCCCTGCTCAGCTGGGAGCCTGCTTTTCCCCCTGCCTGCCACTCCCCCTGCTTGTGCTCTCTCTCTCTGACAAATAAATAAATAAAATTAAAAAAAAACCTTTAATAATCTACCTAATCAACTCTGGTGTCTATTAAACATACCAAGGAATGCAGAGTTCTTGTAAAATCACTCTGGAACAAACTAGTATCTCTGACAGTTGTTTTTGTTTCTCAGTTTCATCAAAATCGTTCATCTCAGCACCCAAAACTGCTTTACCTCCTAAAGTAAAATTCAAAATTGGAAAAAAAAAACACCCCACAAAACCCAAAAAACCCTAACAGATAATGCTAGACCCTTTTGGGAACATGGTAGTGACCACACACTGCCAATGTTCACTAGGGCTATGAAAGAGATTTCCATCTCCTCCATCTATCCAAACTGCTTCGTGGATGGGTAAGAGCTAACCATATTGAATACTGGTGCTAAGCTATTCTAAATGCAAATATAAAACTTAAAAGCACACATCGGTGTTGAGGAGTGCATGGCATCCTCACAATGATACATCTAGAGGATGTATCATTACCTTCACTTTACAGATGAGCAAACTGGGACACAGGTTAAATAATGTGTCCTGGTCACACAGCTACTAAATGGTAGAAAGAGGATTCAAATCCAGACAGTTTGACTCTATAGCCCATTTCTTAATGACTACACTAAACTGCTCTGAAAGCTGAACTTGAAAACAAATTATTTTAAATATCGGTAGAAACGGGCAGTGAGAGGTGATAGGGTGACAGGCAGATTGTAGAAGAGTCAGGGGCCTTGGTTTGGTAATCCAGTTACGGCATGGCCGGAAGGGACTGGAGAGCCTGCATGCCCTCCAGGCCCTCATTTTTAAAGGGAGGTGCCTGACCTAGAGTCTTAGTACAGGGCTGAGCCATGACTAGAATGGAGGTTGTAACTTCAGTATTCTTTACATTTACACCATGCACCATGTTTCTTTTTAGAAGCATATTATAAGGTCCTTTGGAAAACAGTCAATATGGCCAACTCTAATAGCAATACGGGATAAAAAGCTACCATTAGATCAGAAATCCCCCCATTAGATCAGAAATCCCCAACTTAAGCAGGAAATAGCCTGCTCTTGGCCACTACCAACTTTGTTTCACTATTTATTATAAAAAGGAGAGGTAGTGGTAGAGGATGAGGACCGGCTGCCCTGGGAGAGGTCTCGCTGCAATGCCTTGCCTACCTGCCACATCGGACTGGACTAGAGGCTGCCGACCGCACTGACGTCCAGAGCCAGCTGGAACAGGCTCTGTATCACGGCTCAGATGCTTTATGGAACTAGTGGCTCATAGACTCTGGAGTGAAAATGGTTAGAGTCAGGGTCACATTTATCACCATGGCAAGTCTAAACCTTGTGGAAACCAATTACAGGGCAGCAGAAATTTGGAATGGGAAGTCAGACTGCAGAGAGGAATGCCAGTTCCTAATTTAGCAGTACTCAGTTTTAGTTAACAGGAGATCCAGCTACACTTTGTTCCCTGCCAGTGGCTATTTCTGAAACTCTTGGACTTACAACAAAGTACCCTCTTTTACTGATACTTTCAATGTGGGAAAACAAATTTTCCCAGTCCCCAGTATTTTCTGAAGGGCTGATTAAATTTCCTCTGCAACTATCTTTTTATCCTTAAACTTATAATGTGTAAGTTTAAAAATACTCAATCTGAATAGACACTATGACAATGACACTAGGATTTATCTCTTCCTCTTTCCCCCTCTCTCTCACACACACAGGAAAAACATAGCAGGTGCTTAATAGGTATTTGTTGAAGAAATGAATAATAATTGTCTGGACAGTATAATTTAAAAAGGCTTTTCATTTCATATGTATTATCAGTGCTTCAATATAGAACATTTTGTAATGACTAGTGACATGTGGATACAGATGGTTTTCTTCAAACACTGAGTGCCAATATTTTCTGGTAAATACTGACTTTCACGAAACAGAATAACCAAATATAATATAATTTCAGGAGACGGTGATATTATCAGCATAATTCACCCCAATTACAAAAATGGCAACAGTTAAAATCATGCACATTATTTCACCATTTCATAAAACTTCTTTTTAAACTTATACAAACTTCCCCAGAATAAAAAGTTTCCTCAAAAACCTCATGATAACATTATACTAAAAAATTCACTCTGGAAATGCAGGGAGTTATTTTTCAAATTTTGGCTTTACGATTTTCTTTTTCAATCTGTTAAAAAATAGAGTTGAGGAGTGTGTTGAGAGAGGTGGGGAAAAAAAAGGAGCTTCCAGTTGATGGATTCAGTATGTCCAAAAATACCTCAGTAATGGAGAGAAAAAAACTTCAAGAGCAAGAACGTATAAATAAACGTCTTTCAGCAAGATGAATAGGTGAGCAGTTCTCGCATCAGCCGCACCCACAGGAGAGAGGTCTTCTTGAAGAATGCTTGTTTACAGAATCTTCTGTAAGATGGAGTTGGCTACATCCAGTGATTCGTCTTTTACTAGAACAATGTCGTAAGAGTCCATGTACTTTTCTAAAAGCTCATCCACCTAAATCAACAACAACAAAAAATTACATGGATGTGCAGGAAGGAGAAGCAAATAGTTTCAGTGTGAATCTCATTGTTAGGTTTAATCTTCTGGGCAAAATGTAGCAAATTAAATTTACTTTCATAAAACCTTTGAAATGAAGAAATACAGGGCGCCTGGGTGGCTCAGTTGGTTGGGCGACTGCCTTCGGCTCAGGTCATGATCCTGGAGTCCCGGGATCGAGTCCCACGTTGGGCTCCCTGCTCAGCAGGGAGTCTGCTTCTCCCTCTGACCCTCCCCCCTCTCATGTGCTCTCTCTCTCTCTCTCTCAAATAAATAAAATCTTAAAAAAAATTTTGAAAAAAAAATGAAATGAAGAAATACTTTCAAACTTTGAAGACTCATGGACATAGGAATCATCCCACATGGTGGCTTTACTCCTAAAGTCATTTCTCTCTAGTCCAGTGGTTCTCAACTGGGGAGACTGTGCCCAAGCAACACCTGGCAACATTGGGGACATTTTTGACTCTCATGACTAAGGAGTGTTTCAGATTTTTGGTGGGGAAAGGCCAGAGAAGCCACCCCAATACTGACGGCACACATGTGAATCCTAAATCCCTTAACCACACCAAAGTATAGGGATAAAGAGCAATCAAAATGTCTCTACTTTCTCACACATGTTTAATAACAACTGCCCATTAAGCTCCATCCTTATTTTTCTTACAAGAAAATTAAATGACAGATCTATATACTTACTCTATCGTTTAGATATCCAATTTTCAGGATGTGTTCAACATTGGCTACTCCATCTGCCATTCTTATGTCCCCTTGGGAATCTCCCAACAGAATGATGTTGCTATTGTCTTTTAGTCGATTGAAATATTCTGTGTTCTTCAAGGCACCATCATGTTTGTTAAATACATGAATTAGTTCGCCTTTAAATCCTTTCAGCACTCCCTATAAAAATATAAATCCTTTGAAACAAGAGGTTTCAAACTGCAAATTCTGTTTGTTCTATTTTCACATTCATGATAGGTAAGAAGGGCTCTGAGAAGTTAATGATTTTCTAGAGACTACTTTAAATGACAAACACAATGAGCTGAAAATCCAGTTTTTACTTTTCATTTGTTTCCTAACTGGAGGTCCCATTTTCTGTATGTCATAAGGTACTGTTTTGATTAGAAGAGTTTGTTCAAATAACAACAGTTCTAATTCACTTCTTTTTTTCCACCTATGGATATTGAGTCTTCAGAACTGCTGCATTAAATTACATTAAAAGAACTTTTCCTAATTTTAATATTGGTCTGTAGCTTGGGATACAAAAGTTTAAGAAAGGGGGCACCTGGGTGGCTCAGTGGGTTAAGCGTCTGCCTTCGGTTCAGGTCATGATCCCAGGGTCCTGGAATTGAGTCCCACATCGGGCTCCCAAGCAGGGAGCCTGCTTCTCCCTCTCCCTCTGCCTGCCTGTCTGCCTACTTGTGATCTCTCTCTCTCTCTCTCTGTCAACTAAATAAATAAAATCTTAAAAAAAAAAAAGTTTAAGAAAGGCATATTATAACACTGGGAGTTGATGAGTCCCATAGTAGGCCTATTGAGTGACCTAAATTAATGAATATACATTAAATAAAAAACAACTGCATTTATATAATTAAAATATATTCGGATTTTAAAAGTAATTATGAAGAATGATTTGCTGTACTTACATTGTCATCAAAATCCATGAAGTTGGACACTACAGTGATGTTCGGGTGATAAACCCCAGCTTGATGGATTACCTCCTCTAGTATATCACCAATACCAGCCGAAAATATGAACACAGGGATACCGTATTCTTGGAGCTTATCAAAGAAATTCTCATACCCTTCCCTGCAAGATGGAGGTAGGAACTGATTGTTAAAGAGCAAGATATATTTCCTTTTCACCTAGAAAGAAAAAAGCAAAACATTTCTACCTAATTCCATAGCTCATTCATATTCCCTTTTCAGAATACTGCCCAAGAGTGAGGTGATTGATGTCTATGACAACAGTAGTACAAGTTTTTCAAATAACAGTTAACTCTTTGCCTTCCTTCTAATAAATTCTAATAGTACAAATTAGATGCTTTAGACTCAGATTAAATATGGATATAAGCCTACAGTTCACAATCTACACCATTTAACAGCAAATAGTTAACCACATCTTGAAAAGCTTCACCCGGGGAAACCCATTAAGGGTGAGCTGGAGCACCTCCTGCTGGTCATCCTGCTCAACTACTTCCTCTTAGAAAACAGGACGGGCGGGGGGGCGCCTGGGTGGCTCAGTAGTTAAGCGTCTGCCTTCGGCTCAGGTCATGATCCCAGGTTTCTCAGATCGAGCCCCGCATCAGCCTCCCTGCTCAGCGGGACCTGCTTCTCCCTCTCCCACTCCCCCTGCTTGTGTTCCTGCTCTCGCTGTCTCTGTCAAATAAATAAATAAAATCTTAAAAAAAAAAAAAAGGAAACAGGACGGGGGTGAGACGCTTGGGTGGCTCAGTCGTTAAGCATCTGCCTTCGGCTCAGGTCATGATGGGATCGAGTCCCACATCGGGCTCTTTGCTCAGTGAGGAGCCTGCTTCTCCCTCTCCCTCTGCTGCTCCCCCTGCTTGTGCTCTCTCTGACAAATAAATAAAAATCTTAAAAAAAAAGGGGGGGTGCCTGGGTGGCTCAGTCGTTAAGCGTCTGCCTTCAGCTCAGGTCATGGTCCCAGGGTCCTGGGATCACGCCCTGCATCGGGCTCCCTGCTCCGCGGGAAGCCTCCTTCTCCCTCTCCCAATCCCCCTGCTTGTGTTCCTTCTCTTGCTATATCTGTCTCTGTCAAATACATAAATAAAATCTTAAAAAAAACAACAGGAGGGGTGTGGGCAGGAACTGAGCTGCATTCTCTTTACATCCAGCATCTCTCCTACCTAAGGTTTATCAGCTGTTGGTCATGTTCTTAATCTAAGTTTCTCCCCTTTCTACTCTTCCTGGGTTACAGGCTAAGCTGCCTACAAAGGAATAAAATACTAGCTCTCCTCACATTCTTTCTGACACTTAATGCTTTCCTCCCTAGAGGTAGATCACCTTAAAATGTAGCATCATCAAAAAAAAAAAAAATGGCATCATCATATTTACCTAATGAGTTGAAAATTGTTAGAGGTGGTAAACCGTATTGAAAAGAAGCTTAAACCTTTTCATCTTATCATTTGTGTATTACAAATATTTTTATTTATAAATCATAGTCACTTTTCCTAGAGATAGTTTTCAAGGAAGTCTGAGAATTCAGAAAGTAGATTCATGTAACTTTATATACACTTTGAGCAAAAATTTTTTTCAACTGATTTATAAACATTCCTTTTATATTTCATGTCTTTTCAAAAGTATTCTGTTAAAAAATTTCAAAACTGTCCTGGTTCCATAAATTTCTAGAAAGAGAGAGAGAGAGAGAGAAAGAAAGAAAAAAAGAGAGAACTTAAATCTCATAAGGCTCTTATTCCCTATACCAAGATCTAATATTCTAATTCTAAATTCTTTACCTTGCCCTATTCTGTGATAGGTGGCATATTTTGGCTATGTTTTTATATGCAACATATAAATATTGTTATTTGTTATATATTATATATTGCTTTAATAAAAACACACACTTGAATACATATATAAGTCTGTAGACAATTAACAGCAAAAACACCCAAGAAACTTACTTGAGCATAACATCAGATTCCGCCACAATTTCTTTAAGTTTAGCTTTTGGTAAAGCTTGTTCAACAAGCAAACCATGTGATTTAGTATACCTGGAGTTTATGTACAAAGACAAAGAGAAGATCAATTAAAGCAAATCAAAACTATCATCTCCATTAAAAAGCATTCTTCAGTGATAGATAATGCAGTATTTCATTCATCATAATTTGGACTTAAATTTTAGAAATTTAAATTCATCACTAATGAATGTATATCCTAATGTCTCACAATATAATAGAACATGTTCTTACTGCATTTCCCAGTTCTCCCCAAAACCTTAGTTTAAATGTGTTAATAAGATAATGAAAAGATACAAGTGTAAACCTTTCCTCAGTCTACAGATAAGAGCTGAATCCAACCTCGGGAAGCATAATCACTTCTCTGATTACAAGAATTAGAGCAAGGCCATTTGTTTCACCTGTGGGTAGTCTAAATTGTCATGAAATACCTTAGTAGTGAAGGTGCTACCTAGTGTGCAAGAGAGAAAATCCTTGTTATGATGCTCTATAATTACATCAAAGCACCTATAATCACTACATGTCAGTCACAGACCTTTAGAACCTCTCTACCTGATACGCAGAAGTCCTGTGACCCTCCATTCTGGGTCAGCTCCCATCATGTTAGTGAGCTCCTTCTGCCAGGGAAGCTTATATTATTGCTAGAAAATTCTAATTACTAGACAGTCCTTTCTTTCATTACGCTGAAATCAGTCTACTTAAAACTTCCAAGTCTGATTCGAGTTCTGCTTCCACAGGTATGTGGCCCAGGTCCAACTTTTCAACATTTCGTACCATACACATTAATTAAGTGTGCAAGGTGTTCAGGTTAGGTCATAGGATAATGAAGATAAATAACATCACTCCTGGTCTCTTAAGATTCTAAAACCACAGTTGTTTCTTCTCAAATCGCAGCTTTCCCTATTCTGTGAAATCTTCCCCAAATAGGATGGCTCCAATTCCTGTGATTTTCTTTGTGGATTCCTCTGACACACTCTACAGAGCTGTCAACTTTCTCTTAATAACAGCATTCTCTCTGGACTCAGCACAATGCTTTCAGTGTGGTCTGCTTGGAAGGCTGCATTTCCATTAATGCAGCCAACGCTAGGGGTCCATTTCTCAGCAACTATGTCAACTTGCTGGCTCTAGCTCAGTTCAGAGTCAATTTAAATCCCAATTCTTTTCCTTCACACTTTCAGCCACATTTTGTCCATATACTTTTAAAAAAATGCTTGTTTTTAATTTAAGGCTTAAGCGCAGGATTTTAATTTATCTTCACTGACCTTCATCTTAAAAAAAAACAGAACAAAACAAATTCTAGACTGTTAGATTAGAAAATTATAGTTCATTTTGTTATATTTCATCACTGCTCTAGCTCATTGGATACCTTATGAATCTATTATATACAGGGAAAAATAAGCCATTAGTTGTAACTGCAATGTTATTTTATTATATTTTTAACCCTCCCACTGTCTGATACACACTTACCATTCTACCATATAGGGGTACTTCTCTTCTATGGTAAGAACAGGATCAATTTCAATAGCATAATATTTTTCCTTTAGTTGCAGTAACTAGAAATAAATGAATAACTTAATCATGAGGATGACAGAGTTGTCATTAAGCTGCTGAGTTTTACAGAAAGCAAAACGATACAAACAAATGGTTTCCATAAACTGCTGTTAAAGATTAGATCATGAGTATTTGGCTAATGCATATATCAACTGAAGAGATCTTTGCTGATCTAGTTTATATGTAACAAAGTACTTTCAGGTCAGCAATTCAGTGAAACCGACTAATAACCAAATTATTATTACAAAAAACCCTTTCGTTCTCATATGAAAGTATTAAATTTGATTCATCTTTGGAGTCCTATGTTGTTAACACAGACACAGACAGATACATACTCAAGGAAAGCAGAGAACTGAGGCAATTTCCTGGTCAATTTAAAGGAGCAAAACCTACACAAAACCAAAGTACTTTTGTTTTAATGTACAGCTAATCTAAGAACAGAATATTTTGATAACCAATTAAAATTTTTTATGTAATTTTTGTTTTTGTTAAAAAGTTAATTTTTTCTTTAAAATAATGTTGAGAGTATATAACCCACACAATAAAACTAACATTTGTTCAGTGTTTACTAGGTGCTAGGTATGGTTAGAAGCACTTTATATCCATTGTTTGTGTGAATGAACCTGAAGAAATTCTCAGGCAAAGGGAAGTCTTTGAGTAACTCTGGATTACTGTTAGTGTTTACCTTTTTTCGACATTCATCTGTAACCAGCTTACTGTTGTCAATGACATCTGAAGAGTGAAAGCAAACTAGCATTAAAAGAAACATTCTGACTGATGCTACCACTACTTTAAATAACTTACTACTTTTCTTTTACGTTTAAATGCCAAGTCCACCAAGCATGGTCATTACAACTTTTGGACTTAGTGCTATAGTACACATGGCATTGCTAGAGAACCTAATGGTTTTAAAATCTAAACTTTGGATCTAAAGCTTTTTTCCTACATTTGGGAGTATTTCATTAGAAATTCTCCAAAGAATTATTGGGCCAAAGGGTATGATTTCTAGTGGTTTTAATATAAAGTATCAAAATGAATTCTCAAATTCCACAGGCACCTCCAGTAAATGAGAGGCCTTATATCACTGCTTCTTTGTCAGGTTGAAGAGTATTATTTTTTTAAAACTCACTGCCAAGTTTGGAAAACAAAAAAGGTGTATTATCCTAGCAACACATTTTAACTGGTATTTAATTACTCTTTTACTTAATTTATATATCAACAACAAAAAAATTCAGTAACATTCTTAGAAAACCAGAGTGGTTGATAAATGCTGTTTCTTTAGGTTAATCCAAAGTTTAAAATCCATGTAAATATTTCTTGAATAAATAATGAACAGACCACATTTGGAGAAAAATTTCAGAAGTATTCATTCCTCTTGCAACCAAAACTACACTTGAAAATAGTCGTTTATATAACATGGGGGAAAAAACAAATCCTCAAAATATAAGAAGAAAAAGGCAAGTCTTCTCACTTTCAATGTCCAAAAGGAAAAAAAAAAAAACCCAGTCTCATAGATCATATAGGTAAGAAAGGATCTTAAAATAAGAATTACTTTCATGAATTTGTTTATGAATGCCACACTTACAATGACATGTTGGGCATCTTTTCCCTTCATAGGAAAATCTACTCAGTGTCATATCAAAGTCTGTTATTATCTGTAAAGAAAGGGGGAAAAGCATTATGGACCATTCAGCCACTGAGGGCAGACATGTACTGCACACTTCCTAGAGGTATGGGACTGTGCTCAGTCCCTGACCTGCCCCCACCCCCACAGGTTATTCTCTCTGCATTCTGTGTTCTAATGTAGCTCTCTACTGGGAACAGCAGCCTATCTCCTCCAACCACAAATTCCTGTACTGATTAACCAGATTTTATTTGGTGGCAATGCTGGGGCACTTAGGGTGTCGCCTTGTAGTTAAGTCCTGGGAATCACCTTAACTACACAGTGATATCTTAAATGCCCCAGCATTGTCACCAAATAAAATCTGATTCATCGGTATAAAAATTGGCAGTTGCAGGTGATTGGGCTACTATGCTTTTTTTTTTTTTTTAAAGATTTTATTTATTTGACAGAGAGAGACACAGCGAGAGAGGGAATACAAGCAGGGGGAGTGGGAGAGGGAGAAGCAGGCTCCCCACTTAGCAGGGAGCCCGATGCGGGGCTCGATCCCAGGACCCTGAGAGCATGACCTGAGTCAAAGGCAGACGCTTAACGACTGAGCCACCCAGGCACCCCTAGGCTACTATTCTTGATAGAGATAAAATGTCGCACAGTTTCAACCCACCTGGTCAATGTGCAAAAATGCAGTGGAGGCAAACTATATGAAGCTCTCAACTGCAAAGAAGGACATCCTGTCATATACTACAACATGGATGAAACTTGAGGGGACATTATGTTAAGTGAAATAAGCCACTTAGAGATGGACAAATTCTCCATGATTCCACTTATGTGAGGTATTTAAATTAGTCAAACTCATAGAAGCAGAAAATAGAATGGTGGTTGTCAGTGGCTGGGGGTAGGGGGAGAAGGAAATGTGGGGTTGCTCTTCTATGGGTATAGAGTTTCAGTCATGCAGGATAAAGAAATTCTAGGAATCTGCTGTGTAACAATTCACAGAGTTAACAACACTGTACTGTACACTTAAACATTTATTAAGAGGATAGATTCATTATTATGTGTTTTTTACCATAATTAAAAAAATGTATGTCTACTGCAGGGCTTGAAATCACAACCCTGAGATCAAGGCCTGAGCTAAGATCAAGAGTCGGATGTTCACCCGACTGAGCCACCCAGGTGCCCCAAATTTGAATATTATTCTTAAAATGGTTTAATACTTAGGCACTTGCATTAGTTAGCTTGGAACTTAGTATTACTCAGATTTGAACAAAACGTGAGATGAGTCTGCCTGAACATTGAAAATAAAGACTTAATAATAAAGACTTCTTGATAATTATTCACCTGAAGTTTGGCAGCTCCACCCTTAATAAGACCACAGATAATTTCTTCTACTCTTGCAGGGTTCTTAATCCGAACTGAACTTCTCTGGAATTCAGGCATCTAAAAAATAAACGGAAGTTAGTTAGCTATTTTTAATTCCTCTTTTCCCAGGTTCTTTTGATACCAAGCAGAAGCTTATATTATTTTAAGATGTAAAAATGTTGAGGCATTATTTTAAAAAAAAAAGCAAATCATCATATCAAATTACCATTTATACATATAACATTTTTTGAAGCACATCAACAGTTTCTATCTCAAAGATTAAGACAAAATTATATTTGCAATATATTATCAAAAAGTATAATTTTCCTAATTATAAAAGTCACGCATGGTTATCACAGAAACAACAGAAAAAGTATAAAAAAGAAAATAAACATGGCTTGGAATTCTACTAAAGATAAACAAGTAAACATTTAAATTTATTTTCCACATTTTCATTTCTATGATTACAAACATACCTGTTTATGCACATAGTTTATCTCATTCTCATATATTTTTTCATCTGGCTTTTTAAAATTAATTATTACTTCATATACTGTTATAAAAATGTTTTTAGCAGAATTCATTAATCAAAATAAAACCTTAGAGTGGAATGGGGAATATCTGAACTTTGTGATAAAGAGTTTTCTTTCTTTTTTTTTAATTTCAGCTAAGCTTCTTCTTCTTTTTTTTTTAAAGATCCTATCCTTTCATTTGAGAGAGAGAATGAGAGAGAGAGAGCACATGAGAGGAGGGGAGGGTCAGAGGGAGAAGCAGACTCCCCGCTGAGCAGGGAGGCCAATGCGGGACTCGATCCCGGGACTCCAGGATCATGACCTGAGCTGAAGGCAGTCACTTAACCAACTGAGCCACCCAGGCGCCCCGATAAAGAGTTTTCTTATAAGATCTTTCTGCTTAAGGGGTGCCTGGGTGGCTCAGTCGGTCAAGCATCTGACTCTTGATTTCAGGTCAGGTCTTGATCTCAGGTTGTGAGTTCAAGCCCCACACTGGGCTCCACACTAGGCATGGAGACTACTTAAAAAAAAAACCAACCAACAAAAAAACTTTCTGCTTAAGATTTAGCTTATATTTATATTTACATTTAAAAAAATCTTAGCAGAAAGGTAACAAATGTTACATGATTATTCCCCACAAGTGTACCTTTGTGCAAATAATTAAAATATAACTTGAAAACGTGCTTCAAGATCTTTGTTCCTTTATCATACTACATATAATACCAATAATCCCAAATAATTTCATTACTCTTGGCATAAATTTTACAACAGATTTATTTCAATTTAAGACAACTACTAAAAAGTATGAGACCACCAGCATAAGACTCTTGATCTCAGGATTGTGAGTTCAAGACCCATGTTGGGCACGGAGCCTACTTTTAAAAACAAACAAACAAACAAACGTATTAGAATACCTGGGCTTAGGCAGCTACTAGGCTGGTTTATTCAGGATTTAGTGTTGCTCAACAATTTAATGTTAAATATTGTTTCTTTCTTCTACCCTATCACAAAGAAAACGAAACTGATCAGAGTAAAATGCAGAGGTACCCTATTCTTAGAGCATGTGTACAAGAAGACGGCGGGGGGGTGGGGGGGAGATTAGAGGACATATAATAGCTCCACAGTGTAAAAGGGCAGTAAGAGAACCTCAAATCAGGTTCTGTACTCGTTTGTACCCAGTAACCTTTATTTACTTTATATGGTATTATTCTGGGTATGTTACCACCAATATTAACTTATTTCATGTGCATCACAGACATGATTATGGAAAATTCCCTAGACCTTGTAGCTCTGCTCCAAGAGCATGTGACCAGTTGAGTCTCTCAGGTCCTATGCTGTCTCTACATAATAGATAAAATTAGAAAATTGGAAAAAGGCTAAACTGTTTTCCTAAGACTGAAAGATACATACAGGAAAGAGAAATGCTAACATTAAAATTTTCTCCACTAATGAAAGATGCTACAATATGCTTAATTTTAAAAAGCCATATTTAAATAGCATAGGATAACCTGCAATGCAACTAACTTTCAAGCAGTGATTCTTTTAACTTAACTGGACTTTAGAGGTGTCAACAGAATAATAGTTATCCAAATATTTATTTTACAGCGATTTTTCAATAGATGAGAAAAGCAAATAGGCACTTATTCCTACATTCCTTTTCTTCATTTATTAATCCATTAATTTGCTTAACAAATATTTACCTTTATCTACTTTGTGTCAGACGCTAGATGCCAGGGATATGATGATTAGCAGTACTTATACCGTTTTCCTGTTGAGTTTTAGAAACCGTTGCTGTTTTGAAATATCAACTTCTATAGCTCCCCTACAAATACCTTAACTAGTTAAGTTCATCTCCTAACAACTATATTCTGCTCTCACCTCTGCCTTAATTGGAAGATGCATAGTAATCAACATATGTTTGACTTAATAACTAACCCACTACTGAAAGCAACAGAAGATAAATGTCACTAACTATATTTTCACCAAGAAAATCAAACATTTTATTTCAGTGTGTCCATACTGACAAAGATGTCCTGCCTCATGCAAATCACATCCTATAATACATTCAATTAAAACAACAACAACAACACCCAACACCCATATTTAAATAAGATAGGATAACCTCTTTCAGATAATGAATAGGAAAATAGTACCAAAGCCACTTCAAAGTAGGTTGGTTTCTGTTAGGTTAACAACTAATAGATTGGATTATAATATCACTTAGCACCTGAAAGACAACCAAAAGCTGGAGGAATTGATCCCTGCTTCTGTACAACAGCTATTCATTTTCAGATAAATAAGAAGTGAATACCCAAACAGCACCAGGGTGAAATCACAGTGATGAGAACAGATGAAAGAGCAGCAGAGAACACAATAGGAAAGAGGATACAAGTGTAAGAAATTTAAAAATGATAATTATATCTGCTTTGGTTATATGATAATATACTTATACCCCCCCCCCGCCACGATACACATATAATGTCACCAAAGCATATCATAAATACTTCTCAGGAACTTGAGATACTGGGCATTTTACTCAAATATTTTAGAATGCAACCTAAGAAATATATTTTTAAAATACTACATGAAATACGTCAAAGGATGTCAGAATATCAGAATATCAAGAAATATACTGCAGGAATATACATTCATCATACATCACATACTTCCATTACCTCCTCAAATCCCTTCTTCCGTAATTCTTCTTGGACAAAACTACACCTGTTTGGTAGCACTTAAAATAATGATGCTTCAAGTCTGAAGGGCAAGTTATTTTGAACTGTCCAAAAACTTTTCAACTTATAATTTTATGGTAAAAAAATAAGGGGATAAAAATGTCATCACTTGCAAACAAAAGAAAACAAAATCATTTTATAGGCATAATGTAAAATGCTGAAGGAGCAGTTTTCCTGACAAGAATCAGGGCATTTTGGTTGACTGGAGCCAAATCTGACTTAATGCTAAAGATGACTAACAAAAACCTAAAATACACGTATTCTGGCTGTAAAATGAATTTGTGCAGATGAAATGAAATTTGTACAGACCAATCATTAGTCTATTTCAATCGAAAAGCAATGATTTTTGGAGAAGTTGATTTCAAAGTTATACAGTTTTATTCATAACTCTCCAGTAATATTTGATTATTTGATATTATCTTGCAGATACACTGAGACAAGATATAACAGAGTATCTGCATGGCATAGTCACAAAATTGTCCTAATGTTTTACCTATATTTCTCTGAAAATGGACCACATAAAAATTAGTTTAAATGACTTAAGGATCTTTGTCTGAAGTTCTCAGGGGAAATATTTTTTTTTCCAATGTTCATATTTGGTACAAGCAAAAGACTTCATTACTACTTTGGTACAAAGGAGTGGGCACTACAATTTTCATGTAACTACATAAAAAGTATAGATCCAAAGCCACCTATTCAGACTGGTATGTTCATTCACATACATGGATCATTCCATGACTTATTTGGAAGACTACCCATTACTAAAGTGTAGTGATAGCCAGTTTCCCCTGTCTACCACATTTTTGGCCTGTCTCCACATTAAGGGAGTGTAGGCCAGATTCATTCATTCAACATATAGTCATTAAGTGTAAGGCAGCTCTGTAAGAGATACAAAAGTTTTAGTAAGATAAACATCTTAAACTTAAGGTGCATGTTCTCTAACATGGATTGTAATACAGGAGCCCAAATAAATAATACATTGCTCAGACGTCCAGATAAAATACAAGAGGAACATAAGAGACTGTGATTACCTCTGCTGCAGCCAAAAGAGGAAGAGCCAACTGAGCTAGGCTTTCAGAGAGAAGTAGGATTTATTTATGTTGAGATCATGAGCCAAAATGCAGGGACTCATG